GACCTTCTTGAACTCGTTTAATACAATACACTCGAATGCCTTGTTTTGTCTTTTCCCGAGTTGATTATACGGGAAGTAGATTATCGGCTGGTGACGTTGCGATCACTCACATGCATATGACTCCCCAGCTTACGCACGGCTTGAACAGAAATCAAAGGGGTGGTATGTAGGATGCTCCCCGGGTCCTGTTGGCGCCCATAAGGGAGTACAACTTATGTGCTTGTAGGTCGATGATGCTATGTTTCTAGCCTGCGCACAGATCGTATCTGGCGTAGGCATTTCAGTGGTACTGTTCATCGGTTGTGGCTGTCTTAAGTGAACTCTTCGTAGACGCTTGCTTCCAAAGACGAGTCCCAGACTAGCTACCGAGACTCTGGTAGCCAGTCTTGAGGTCTCGTACTGTGTGTTGTAGCTGTCACATCTGTTATGTTTATGTCATGCCTTGTTAACACTTCCCTCAGTCACGACCAGCTAACGTCGTTACAGGAGTTGGTAGCGCTGTACCCAATGCTATACCAAGAATTGCACTCCCAAAATCCTCCTGGATTTGTATACCCTGAACCCATTAAAAATGGGTATAAGGGTATATTGTATTTGTGAAAAATCCAAATGTGTGTAACAGGCAGAAGGAAGTATCTCCGACCCCATAAAGTATATATATTCTTGATCAGCATCAATAGCCGAGTCGATCTAGCCATGCCCGTCTGTCTGTCCGTCCGTCCGTCCGTATATATGAATGCAAGGATCTCAGAACCTTTATGAGCTAGAGACTTGAAATTTTAGATGTAGGTGCTCCTTGTGCCTGCGCAGATCGAAATTGTTTCCGATAATCGATCAATTATTCCGGTTCCCATCAATCGCTAAAAATCGTTATCGATATCCTGTTTTTTGGGCAATTTCAGTAAATAATAAGAGCTAGTCACCAAACTTGTCATATAGCTTCTAAAATAGAATAAATATATGCATTTGATGTAGGAAGAAGAGGGTTCAGGGTATCCCCTAGTCGGGAGCTCCCGACTAGAACCTCTTGTTTTTAAGTGATGTACTTCATTGTCGGCTTACATGTAATTGCTTTTCAATTTGTTCTACAGAACGTTATGCCAAGTGCAGGCGGATGACTATTTATCATAAAAGAATGCACTCGAAAACGAGCTCGAGCTTGAACGCGAGCTGTGAATGAAATCGTATTGGTATCCGTTACCAAAGTAAACTTAAACTTATTAGGAAGCAATTCGATGGCCCGTATCTCTTATTGATTTCCATTACCTGCGACAAACCAAATGCTCTGCAATTTTCGGCTTTGAAACGTAGTTTCGACATTATCGACAGCTTTCGGCAGTAACCATAGCATTTTTGCATTATAAATATATATTGACTTTTACTAAAAGAAAAATTGTAATTGTGATTATTTTCAGAAAGTTTTTACCAGGCCTATACTGAAACAAACTACTCAATATCGGTATAAATGTCGGACAAATTTGATGTCTTCTACTAGTGTTACCTGTCAAAAATCTGTCATAACACAATTTAAGTAAGAATTATATATTTCATTCATAAACGTACTTTCAGTTGGTTCGATTATTTGCATTCACAAATGCAGTTTGAGTTAGCTGAGTGAATTGTATAATGGGGTGATACACCTTGCTCTATTCATATCTGAATTCGGAATACTGAAATATAGCTTCGGTTACAATAAGCAAAACAAGCCTGGGTTGCCGTCGCTTTCCTCAAATGTGTGTTAGCGCCTCGTGTGAGGTGTCGGGTGACTCTCGTGGTTGGCAACAATGTTGCGACACATCCGCGTTCAAGACTCTGATCGCCAGCTGATAAAACCAGTAGACTCCAGCTCGCACAGCACTTGCTAAAAATAATATACCGAGCAAAATTGCCGATTTGTTTGCGACTGCGACACTGAGGTTAAGTTTCTCGTCACTAAGACGATGAATGTAAGGAAGACTGAGCACCGGGTCGCGACGATGTTTAGTAACGGGGATGCCGCTTCTGCCGGGTACCGATGGGACGTGAAGGTGACAAAGTTTGTCCCATCTGTTATCATCGCAGCGCACTCGTCATAGCTCGGTATCCCGCTGCAATAATTTATGATGATGATTCCGTTGTCCATTATGTTGACAGGGCCGAGGTGACTAGGCTGCGTTTGACAATGAGCCATGGAGACCTTGCGTGCAATGGATCCTTACGGACTGCTTGCAGAATGTGGCAGTTACTGTTTGTAAACAATTTGATACAGCTAAAATTGCCGTGGAGGTGAAGTACGAAACCATTAAAGGCGACTGAGAAAATGTTTATCTTTCTGTGTTGCTTGCTTACTATAGGGAACTGAATTACGAAAGTTATTACGTTGTTCTCATGTTCTACTTTAATATTAGATACTTTCAAAATGTCTGTTATGCGTCCTGTAAATTCGTTAGAGCGAATATTAATGATTTCAAAGTGATCAATTATAGTTGGATTTATTTCATTTAAAATTTTCTAAAGTTAAAGTAAGCATAATTGTCCTATTTCTGTTCTTTTCACCATTTTGTAGCGTGTGCTGGGTCTAAAAAAATTTGGCCTGTGTCCGCCTGCTCTTGAGGATTTGAGAATTTTGTTTACTGTGTCGGTCAGTTGGTTAATCTTTTCTTGCACTATGGAATTAATTTGAAATTTATGTTCAGAGTGCCCGCTACAACCTCAAGGGCTGTTCCTAAGAAGTCAAGACTTCTCACCTTTTGATGCACATCGAGAGCGGACAACATCTCCAGTGTCAACTTCCTTTTAAAGTTTCAAATTAATTTTTTATAATTTCGTTAAAATAAAATTTTGCAATATAACAACTTTCAGTAGCAAATCTAACGAGACTTTTCCAGCATATTTCACATTACGCTTGGCATTCTCATTGTATTCCATCGCGTGATTTGATAAAACAACATTTTCGATATGACGGTTGTTTAAAGTAAGATTTTGATAGTTTCGTATAATCTCGTTGCGCACCTTATTTTAAAGAAGATACTAGGGTTGAATCACAACTATTCTTTTCAGTTATGGTAAATGGTATTCCCGAGTTTACTTTAGAACGACAACCAGCTGGCGTAAATTAAGCTTGATGATTTGCTTTTAACGAAACGTGATAGTGTCCAAACATAACTCGAATGTATAAATTTAGTTTTGCATTCCTAGCTTACCGCAAATAGCAGAAACACTTCCAGCACATGCGCCAAAATAAGCATAACGGCAAAGAAGATACAGAAAATAATCTGCAGATTGGCAAATTAGGCGGTGTTGGCGGTAAGCCTCTGTAGTTTTGTTATTACATGGCTGGTCGTTCAGCGGTAAATTGTTTCTCATTCACCACGTTCTGATGACCACTCGCATTCTCCCATAATGTTTTTCATCCTGTTGCGACATTGTGTGATCTGCCATTGTATCGCACGGTATGTAACATGTCGAAGATGGGCTTCTCTCTTGGGTGCTCAGAACCAAGCGTTTTGGTGTGATGGTTTCATCGTCTTTGGTTTGACACGAACGTAGTTTTCCGTTATTTATAAATTGAACTTCACATTAGGTGCTCAAAAGCTTTTCATCCGTAGGGTTCATTTCTGGGTAGATGAAAATATGACCTTCTTGAACTCGTTTAATACAATACACTCGAATGCCTTGTTTTGTCTTTTCCCGAGTTGATTATACGGGAAGTAGATTACCAGCTGGTGACGTTGCGATCACTCACATGCATATGACTCCCCAGCTTACGCACGGCTTGAACAGAAATCTAAGGGGTTGTATGTAGGATGCTCCCTGGGACCTGTTGGCGCCCATAAGGGAGCACAACTTATGTGCTTGCAAGTCGATGATTCTATGTTTCTAGCCTGCGCACAGATCGTATCTGGCGTAGGCATTTCAGTGGTACTGTTCATCGGTTGTGGCTGTCTTAAGTGAACTCGTCGTAGACGCATGCTTCCAAAGACGAGTCCCAGACTAGCTACCGAGACTCTGGTAGCCAGTCATGAGGTCTCGTACTGTGTGTTGTAGCTATCACATCTGTTATGTTTATGTCATGCCTTGTTAACACTTCCCTCAGTCACGACCAGCTAACGTCGTTACAGGAGTTGGTAGCGCTGTACCCAATGCTATACCAAGAATTGCACTCCCAAAATCCTGGATTTGTATACCCTGAACCCATTAAATATGGGTATAAGGGTATATTGTATTTGTGCAAAATCCTAATGTGTGTAACAGGCAGAAGGAAGTATCTCCGACCCCATAAGGTATATATATTCGTGATCAGCATCAATAGCCGAGTCGATCTAGCCATGCCCGTCTGTCTGTCCGTCCGTCCGTCCGTATATATGCACCAAGGATCTGAGAACCTTTATGAGCTAGAGACTTGAAATTTTAGATGTAGGTGCTCCTTGTGCCTGCGCAGATCGAGTTTGTTTCCGATAATCGATAAATTATTCCGGTTCCCATCAATTGCTGAAAATCGTTATCGATATCCTGTTTTATATATATATATATGCATTTGATGTTGGAAGAAGAGGGTTCAGGGTATCCCCTAGTCGGGAGCTCCCGACTAGAACCTCTTGCTTTTAAGTGATATACTTCATTATCGGCTTACATGTAATTGCTTTTTAATTTGTTCTATAGAACGTTATACCAAGTGCAGGCGGATGACTTTTAATCATAAAAGAATACACTCGAAATCTAAGTAGTGTAATTCAAAGTCGAGCCTGAACGCGAGCTGTGAATGAAATCGTATTGGTATCCGTTACCACAGTAAACTTAAACTTATTACGAAGCAATTCGATGGCCCGTATCTCTTATTTATAACGCAAGTATGTGTTGATTTCCATTACCTGCGACAAACCAAATGTTCTGCAATTTTCGGCTTTGAAACGTGGTTTCGACATTATCGACAGCTCTCGGCAGTAACCATAGCATTTTTGCATTGTAAATATATATTGACTTCTACTGAAAGAAAAATTGTAATTGTTTTTTTTTTTTAGAAAGTTTTTACCAGGCATATACTGAAACAAACTACTCAATATCGTTATAAATGTCGGACAAATTTGATGTCTTCTACTAGTGTTACCTGTCAAAAACCTGTCATAACACAATTTAAGTAAGAATTATATATAAAATATTTCATTCATAAACGTACTTTCATTTGGTTCGATTATTTGCATTCACAAATGCAGTTTGAGTTAGCTAACAACAGTGAGTGAATTATATAATGGGGTGATACACCTTGCTCTATTCATATCTGAACTCGGACTACTGAAATATAACTTCGGTTATAATAAGCAAAACAAGCCTGGGTTGCCGTCGCTTTCCTCAAATGTGTGTTAGCGCCTCGTGTGAGGTGTCGGGTGACTCTCGTGGCTGGCAACATTGGTGCGACACATCCGCCGCGATCAAGACTCTGATCGCCAGTTGATGAAACAGTAGACTCCAGCTCCCACAGGACTTGCTAACAATAATATACTGAGCAAAATTGCCGATTTGTTTGCGACTGCGACACTGAGGTTAAGTTTCTTGTCACTCAGACGATGAATGTAAGGAAGGCTCCGGGTCGCGACTGCTGATGTTTAGTAACGGGGATGCCGCTTCTGCCGGGTACCAATTTTGCACGTTTATTCGATTGAAGGTGACAAGGCTTGTCCCATCTATTATCATCGCAACGCACTCGTCATAGCTAGGCATTCCGCTGCAATAATTTATGATGATGATTCCGTTGTCCAATATGTTGACAGGGGCGAGGTGACTCGGCTGCGTTTGACAATGAGCCATGGAGACTTTGCGTGCAATGGATCCTTACGGACTGCTTGCAGAATGTGGCAGTTGCTGTTTGTGAACAAATTGATACAGCTAAAATTGCCGTGGAGGTGAAGTACGAAACCATTGAAGGCGACTGAGAAAATGTTTTTCTCTCTGTGTTGCTTGCTTACTATAGGGAACTGAATTACGAAAGTTATTACGTTGTTCTCATGTTCTACTTTAATATTAGATACTTTCAAAATGTCTGTTATGCGTCCTGTAAATTCGTTAGTGAGAATATTCATGAAATCAAAGTGATCAATTATTTGTCCTATTTCTGTTCTGTTCACCATTTTGTAGCGTGTGCTGGTTCTAAAAAAATTTGGCCTGTATCCGCCTGCTTTTGAGGATTTGAGAATTTTGTTTACTGTGTCGGTCAGTTGGTTAATCTTTTCTTGCACTATGCAATTCATTTGAAATTTATGTCCAGAGTGCCCGCTACAACCTCAAGGGCTGTTCCTAAGAAGTCAAGACTTCTCACCTTTTGGTGGACAACATCTCCAGTGTCAACTTCCTTTTAAAGTTTCAAATTAATATTTTATAATTTCAAAAATAAAATTTTGCAATATAACAACTTTCAATAGCAAATCTAGCATATTCCAGCATTTTTCACATTACGCTTGGCATTCTCATTGTATTCCATTGTGTGAGTTGATAAAACAACATTTTCGATTTGACGGGTGCTTAAAGTAAGATTTTGATAGTTTCGTATAATCTCGTTGCGCACCTTATTTTAAAGAAGATACTAGGGTTAAAGCACAACTACTCTTTTTAGTTATGTTAAATGGTATTCCCGAGCTTACTTTAGAACGACAACCAGCTGGCGTAAATTAAGCCTGATGAATTGTTATTAACGAAGCGTGATAGTGTGCAAACATAACTCGAATGTATAAATTTAGTTTTGCATTCCTAGCTTAACGCAAGTAGCAGAAACACTTCCAGCACATGCGCCAAAACAAGTATAACGGCAAAGAAGATACAGAAAATAATCTGCAGACTTGCAAATTAGGCGGTGTTGGCGGTAGGCCTCTGTAGTTTTAGCATTACATGGCTGCTCATTCAGCGGTAAATTGTTTCTCATACACCACGTTCTGATGACCACTCGCCTTCTCCGATAATGTTCTTCATTATATTCTTCATAATATGAACGCAAGGATCTCAGAACCTTTATGAGCTAGAGACTTGAAATTTTAGATGTAGGTGCTTCTTGTGCCTGCGCAGATCAAGTTTGTTTCCGATAATCGATAAATTATTTCGGTTCCCATCAATTGCTGAAAATCATTATCGATATCCTGTTTTTTGGGCAATTTCGGTAAATAATAAGAGCTAGTCACCAAACTTGACATATAGCTTCTAAAATAGAATATATATATGCATTTGATATTGGAAGAAGAGGGTTCAGGGTATCCCCTAGTCAGGAGCTCCCGACTAGAACCTCTTGTTTTTAAGTGATATACTTCATTGTCGGCTAACATGTAATTGCTTTTCAATTTGTTCTACAGAACGCTATGCCAAGAGCAGGCGGATGACTATTTATCATAAAAGAATACACTCGAAAACTAAGTAGTGTAATTCAAAGTCGAGCTTGAACGCGAGCTATGAATGAAATCGTATTGGTATCCTTTACCAAAGTAAACTTAAACTTATTAGGAAGCAAGTCGATAGCCCGTATCTCTTATTTGTAACGCAATAATGTGTTGATTTCATTACCTGCGGCAACCAAATGTTTTGCAATTTTCGGCTTTGAAACGTAGTTTCGACATTATCGACAGCTTTCGATAGTGACCATAGCATTTTTGCATTATAAATATATATTGACTTTTACTGAAAGAAAAAATGTAATTGTGATTATTTTCAGAAAGTTTTTAGCAGGCCTATAGTGAAACAATCTACTCAATATCGGTATAAATGTTGGACAAATTTGTTGCCTTCTACTGGTGTTACCTGTCAAAAAACCTGTCATAACACAATTTAAGTAAGAATTATATATAAATTAATTCATTTATAAGGGTACTTTCATTTGGTTCGATTATTTGCATTCACAAATGCAGTTTGTGTTAGCTAACAACAGTGAGTAAAATATATAAAGGGGCGATACACCTTGCTCTATCCATATCTGAATTCAGACTACTGAAATATAACTTCGGTTACAATAAGCAAAACAAGCCTGGGTTGCCGTCGCTTTCCTCAAATTTGTGTTAGCGCCTCGTGTGAGGTGTCGGGTGATTCTCGTGGCTGGCAACATTGGTGCGACACATCCGCCGCGTTCAAGACTCTGATCGCCAGCTGATGAAACCAGTAGACTCCAGCTCCCACAGCACTTGCTAACAATAATATACCGAGCAAAATTGCCGATTTGTTTGCGACTGCGACACTGAGGTTAAGCTTCTCGTCACTCAGACGATGAATGTAAGGAAGGCTCCGGGTCGCGACTGCTGATGTTTAGTAACGGGGATGCCGCTTCTGCCGGGTACCGATTTTGCACGTTCATTCGATTGAAGGTGACAAGGTCCCATCTATTATCATCGCAACGCACTCGTCATAGCTAGGCATTCCGCTGCAATAATTTATGATGATGATTCGGTTGTCCATTATGTTGACAAGGGCGAGGTGACGCGGCTGCGTTTGACAATGTGCCATGGAGACCTTGCGTGCAATGGATCCTTACGGACTGCTTGCAGAATGTGGCAGTTGCTGTTTGTGAACAAATTGATACAGCTAAAATTGCCGTGGAGCTGAAGTACGAAACCATTGAAAGCGACTGAGAAAATGTTTTTCTCTCTGTGTTGCTTGCTTACTATAGGGAACTGAATTACGAAAGTTATTACGTTGTTCTCATGTTCTACTTTAATATTAGATACTTTCAAAATGTCTGTTATGCGTCCTGTAAATTCGTTGGTGAGAATATTCATGAAATCAAAGTGATCAATTATTGTTGGATTTATTTCATTTAAATTTTTCTAAGGTAAAAGTAAGCATAATTGTCCTATTTCTGTTCTGTTCACCATTTTGTAGCGTGTGCTGGGTCTAAAAAAATTTGGCCTGTATCCGCCTGCTTTATGAGGATTTGAGAATTTTGTTTACTGTGTCGGTCAGTTGGTTAATCTTTTCTTGCCCTATGGAATTAATTTAAAATTTATGTCCAGAGTGCCCGCTACAACCTTAAGGGTTGTTCCTAAGAAGTCAAGACTTCTCACCTTTTGATGCACATCGAGAGCGGACAACATCTCCAGTGTCAACTTCCTTTTAAAGTTTCAAATTAATTTTTTATAATTTCGTTAAAATAAAATTTTGCAATATAACAACTTTCAGTAGCAAATCTAGCATATTCCAGCATTTTTCACATTACGCTTGGCATTCTCATTGTATTCCATCGCGTGAGTTGATAAAACAACATTTTCGATTTGACGGGTGTTTAAAGTAAGATTTTGATAGTTTCGTATAATCTCGTTGCGCACCTTATTTTAAAGAAGATACTAGGGTTAAAGCACAACTACTCTTTTCAGTTATGGTAAATGGTATTCCCGAGTTTACTTTAGAACGACAACCAGCTGGCGTAAATTAAGCTTGATGATTTGCTTTTAACGAAACGTGATAGTGTCCAAACATAACTCGAATGTATAAATTTAGTTATGCATTCCTAGCTTACCGCAAATAGCAGAAACACTTCCAGCACATGCGCCAAAACAAGCATAACGGCAAAGAAGATACAGAAAATAATCTGCAGATTGGCAAATTAGGCGGTGTTGGCGGTAAGCCTCTGTAGTTTTGTTATTACATGGCTGGTCGTTCAGCGGTAAATTGTTTCTCATTCACCACGTTCTGATGACCACTCGCCTTCTCCCATAATGTTTTTCATCCTGTTGCGACATTGTGTGATCTGCCATTGTATCGCACGGTATGTAACATGTCGAAGATGGGCTTCTCTCTTGGGTGCTCAGAACCAAGCGTTTTGGTATGATGGTTTCATCGTCTTTGGTTTGACACGAACGTGGTTTTCCGTTATTTATAAATTGAACTTCACATTAGGTGCTCAAAAGCTTGCATTCCTAGCTTACCGCAAGTAGCAGAAACACTTCCAGCACATGCGCCAAAACAAGTATAACGGCAAAGAAGATACAGAAAATAATCTGCAGATTGGCAAATTAGGCGGTGTTGGCGGTAAGCCTCTGTAGTTTTGTTATTACATGGCTGGTCGTTCAGCGGTAAATTGTTTCTCATTCACCACGTTCTGATGACCACTCGCCTTCTCCCATAATGTTTTTCATCCTGTTGCGACATTGTGTGATCTGCCATTGTATCGCACGGTATGTAACATGTCGAAGATGGGCTTCTCTCTTGGGTGCTCAGAACCAAGCGTTTTGGTATGATGGTTTCATCGTCTTTGGTTTGACACGAACGTGGTTTTCCGTTATTTATAAATTGAACTTCACATTAGGTGCTCAAAAGCTTGCATTCCTAGCTTACCGCAAGTAGCAGAAACACTTCCAGCACATGCGCCAAAACAAGTATAACGGCAAAGAAGATACAGAAAATAATCTGCAGACTTGCAAATTAGGCGGTGTTGGCGGTAGGCCTCTGTAGTTTTGGCATTACATGGCTGCTCATTCAGCGGTAAATTGTTTCTCATACACCACGTTCTGATGACCACTCGCCTTCTCCGATAATGTTCTTCATTATATTCTTCATAATATGAACGCAAGGATCTCAGAACCTTTATGAGCTAGAGACTTGAAATTTTAGATGTAGCTGTTCCTTGTGCCTGCGCAGATCGAGTTTGTTTCCGATAATCGATAAATTATTTCGGTTCCCATCAATTGCTGAAAATCATTATCGATATCCTGTTTTTTGGGCAATTTCGGTAAATAATAAGAGCTAGTCACCAAACTTGACATATAGCTTCTAAAATAGAATATATATATGCATATTGGAAGAGGGTTCAGGGTATCCCCTAGTCAGGAGCTCCCGACTAGAACCTCTTGTTTTTAAGTGATATACTTCATTGTCGGCTTACATGTAATTGCTTTTTAATTTGTTCTACAGAACGTTATGCCAAGTGCAGGCGGATGACTATTTATCATTAAAGAATACACTCGAAAACTAAGTAGTGTAATTCAAAGGCGAGCTTGAACGCGAGCTATGAATGAAATCGTATTGGTATCCGTTACCACAGTAAACTTAAACTTATTAGGAAGCAATTCGATGGCCCGTATCTCTTATATATAACGCAAGTACGTGTTGATTTCCATTACCTGCGACAAACCAAATGTTCTGCAATTTTCGGCTTTGAAACGTAGTTTCGACATTATCGACAGCTCTCGGCAGTAACCATAGCATTTTTGCATTGTAAATATATATTGACTTCTACTGAAAGAAAAATTGTAATTGTGATTATTTTCAGAGTGTTTACCAGGCATATACTGAAACAAACTACTCAATATCGTTATGAATGTCGGACAAACTTGATGTCTTCTACTAGTGTTACCTGTCAAAAACCTGTCATAACACAATTTAAATAAGAATTATATATAAAATATTTCATTCATTAACGTACTTTCATTTGGTTCGATTATTTGCATTCACAAATGCAGTTTGAGTTAGCTAACAACAGTGAGTGAATTATATAAAGGGGCGATACACCTTGCTCTATTCATATCTGAATTCGGACTACTGAAATATAATTTCGGTTACAATAAGCAAAACAAGCCTGGGTTGCCGTCGCTTTCCTCAAATGTGTGTTAGCGCCTCGTGTGAGGTGTCGGGTGACTCTCGTGGCTGGCAACATTGGTGCGACTCATCCGCCGCGATCAAGACTCTGATCGCCAGTTGATAAAACCAGTAGACTCCAGCTACCACAGCACTTGCTAACAATAATATACCGAGCAAAATTGCCGATTTGTTTGCGACTGCGACACTGAGGTTAAGTTTCTCGTCACTCAGACGATGAATGTAAGGAAGGCTCCGGGTCGCGACTGCTGATGTTTAGTAACGGGGATGCCGCTTCTGCCGGGTACCGATTTTGCACGTTCATTCGATTGAAGGTGACAAGGCTTGTCCCATCTATTATCATCGCAACGCACTCGTCATAGCTAGGCATTCCGCTGCAATAATTTATGATGATGATTCGGTTGTCCATTATGTTGACAAGGGCGAGGTGACGCGGCTGCGTTTGACAATGTGCCATGGAGACCTTGCGTGCAATGGATCCTTACGGACTGCTTGCAGAATGTGGCAGTTGCTGTTTGTGAACAAATTGATACAGCTAAAATTGCCGTGGAGGTGAAGTACGAAACCATTGAAGGCGACTGAGAAAATGTTTTTCTCTCTGTGTTGCTTGCTTACTATAGGGAACTGAATTACGAAAGTTATTACGTTGTTCTCATGTTCTACTTTAATATTAGATACTTTCAAAATGTCTGTTATGCGTCCTGTAAATTCGTTAGTGAGAATATTCATGAAATCAAAGTGATCAATTATTGTTGGATTTATTTCATTTAAATTTTTCTAAGGTAAAAGTAAGCATAATTGTCCTATTTCTGTTCTGTTCACCATTTTGTAGCGTGTGCTGGGTCTAAAAAAATTTGGCCTGTATCCGCCTGCTTTATGAGGATTTGAGAATTTTGTTTACTGTGTCGGTCAGTTGGTTAATCTTTTCTTGCCCTATGGAATTAATTTGAAATTTATGTCCAGAGTGCCCGCTACAACCTTAAGGGTTGTTCCTAAGAAGTCAAGACTTCTCACCTTTTGATGCACATCGAAAGCGGACAACATCTCCAGTTTCAACTTCCTTTTAAAGTTTCAAATTAATTTTTTATAATTTCGTTAAAATAAAATTTTGCAATATAACAACTTTCAGTAGCAAATCTAACGAGACTTTTCCAGCATATTTCACATTACGCTTGGCATTCTCATTGTATTCCATCGTGTGAGTTGATAAAACAACATTTTCGATTTGACGGGGGTTTAAAGTAAGATTTTGATAGTTTCGTATAATCTCGTTGCGCACCTTATTTTAAAGAAGATACTAGGGTTAAAGCACAACTACTCTTTTCAGTTATGGTAAATGGTATTCCCGAGTTTACTTTAGAACGACAACCAGCTGGCGTAAATTAAGCTTGATGATTTGCTTTTAACGAAACGTGATAGTGTCCAAACATAACTCGAATGTATAAATTTAGTTTTGCATTCCTAGCTTGCCGCAAATAGCAGAAACACTTCCAGCACATGCGCCAAAACAAGCATAACGGCAAAGAAGATACAGAAAATAATCTGCAGATTGGCAAATTAGGCGGTGTTGGCGGTAAGCCTCTGTAGTTTTGTTATTACATGGCTGGTCGTTCACCGGTAAATTGTTTCTCATTCACCACGTTCTGATGACCACTCGCATTCTCCCATAATGTTTTTCATCCTGTTGCGACATTGTGTGATCTGCCATTGTATCGCACGGTATGTAACATGTCGAAGATGGGCTTCTCTCTTGGGTGCTCAGAACCAAGCGTTTTGGTGTGATGGTTTCATCGTCTTTGGTTTGACACGAACGTGGTTTTCCGTTATTTATAAATTGAACTTCACATTAGTTGCTCAAAAGCTCTTCATCCGTAGGGTTCATTTCTGGGTAGATGAAAATATGACCTTCTTGAACTCGTTTAATACAATACTCTCGAATGCCTTGTTTTGTCTTTTCCCGAGTTGATTATACGGGAAGTAGATTACCGGCTGGTGACGTTGCGATCACTCACATGCATATGACTCCCCAGCTTAAGCACGGCTTGAACAGAAATCAATGGGGTGGTATGTAGGATGCTCCCCGGGTCCTGTTGGCGCCCATAAGGGAGCACAACTTATGTGCTTGCAGATCGATGATGCTATGTTTCTAGCCTGCGCACAGATCGTATCTGGCGTAGGCATTTCAGTGGTACTGTTCATCGGTTGTGGCTGTCTTAAGTGAACTTGTCGTAGACGCTTGCTTCCAAAGACGATTCCCAGACTAGCTAGCGAGACTCTGGTAGCCAGTCTTGAGATCTCGTACTGTGTGTTGTAGCTGTCACATCTGTTATGTTTATGTCATGCCTTGTTAACACTTCCCTCAGTCACGACCAGCTAACGTCGTTACAGGTGTTGGTAGCGCTGTACCCAATGCTATACCAAGAATTGCACTCCCAAAATCCTCCTGGATTTTTATACCCTGAACTCATTAAAAATGGGTATAAGGGTATATTGTATTTGTGCAAAATCCAAATGTGTGTAACAGGCAGAAGGAAGTATCTCCGACCCCATAAAGTATATATATTCTTCATCAGCATCAATAGCCGAGTCGATCTAGCCATGCCCGTCTGTCTGTCCGTCCGTCCGTCCGTATATATGCACGCAAGGATCTCAGAACCTTTATGAGCTAGAGACTTGAAATTTTAGATGTAGGTGCTCCTTGTGCCTGCGTGCCTGCGCATAAATTATTTCGGTTCCCATCAATCGCTAAAAATCGTTATCGATATCCTGTTTTTTGGGCAATTTCGGTAAATAATAAGAGCTAGTCACCAAACTTGTCATATAGCTTCTAAAATAGAATAAATATATGCATTTGATGTTGGAAGAAGAGGGTTCAGGGTATCCCCTAGTCGGGAGCTTCCGACTAGAACCTCTTGTTTTTAAGTGATATACTTCATTGTCGGCTTACATGTAATTGCTTTTCAATTTGTTCTACAGAACGTTATGCCAAGTGCAGGCGGATGACTATTTATCATAAAAGAATGCACTCGAAAACGAGCTCGAGCTTGAACGCGAGCTATGAATGAAATCGTATTGGTATCCGTTACCACAGTAAACTTAAACTTATTAGGAAGCAATTCGATGGCCCGTATCTCTTATTTATAACCCAAGTATGTGTTGATTTCCATTACCTGCGACAAACCAAATGTTCTGCAATTTTCGGCTTTGAAACGTAGTTTCGACATTATCGACAGCTCTCGGCAGTAACCATAGCATTTTTGCATTGTAAATATATATTGACTTCTACTGAAAGAAAAATTGTAATTGTGATTATTTTCAGAGTGTTTACCAGGTATATACTGAAACAAACTACTCAATATCGTTATGAATGTCGGACAAACTTGATGTCTTCTACTAGTGTTACCTGTCAAAAACCTGTCATAACACAATTTAAGTAAGAATTATATATAAAATATTTCATTCATAAACGTACTTTCATTTGGTTCGATTATTTGCATTCACAAATGCATTTTGTGTTAGCTAATAACAGTGAGTGAATTATATAAAGGGGCGATACACCTTGCTCTATTCATATCTGAATTCGGACTACTGAAATATAATTTCGGTTACAATAAGCAAAACAAGCCTGGGTTGCCGTCGCTTTCCTCAAATGTGTGTTAGCGCCTCGTGTGAGGTGTCGGGTGACTCTCGTGGCTGGCAACATTGGTGCGACACATCCGCCGCGATCAAGACTCTGATCGCCAGTTGATGAAACCAGTAGACTCCAGCTACCACAGCACTTGCTAACAATAATATACCGAGCAAAATTGCCGATTTGTTTGCGACTGCGACACTGAGGTTAAGTTTCTCGTCACTCAGACGATGAATGTAAGGAAGGCTCCGGGTCGCGACTGCTGATGTTTAGTAACGGGGATGCCGCTTCTGCCGGGTACCGATTTTGCACGTTCATTTGATTGAAGGTGACAAGGCTTGTCCCATCTATTATCATCGCAGCGCACTCGTCATAGCAAGGTATTCCGCTGCAATAATTTATGATGATGATTCGGTTGTCCATTATGTTGACAGGGCCGAGGTGACTCGACTGCGTTTGACAATGAGCCATGGAGACCTTGCGTGCAATGGATCCTTACGGACTGCTTGCAGAATGTGGCAGTTGCTGTTTGTGAACAAATTGATACAGCTAAAATTGCCGTGGAGGTGAAGTACGAAACCATTGAAGGCGACTGAGAAAATGTTTATCTTTCTGTGTTGCTTGCTTACTATAGGGAACTGAATTACGAAAGTTATTACGTTGTTCTCATGTTCTACTTTAATATTAGATACTTTCAAAATGTCTGTTATGCGTCCTGTAAATTCGTTAGTGAGAATATTCAAGTGATCAATTTTTGTTGGATTTATTTCATTTAAATTTTTCTAAGGTAAAAGTAAGCATAATTATCCTATTTCTGTTCTGTTCACCATTTTGTAGCGTGTGCTGGGTCTCAAAATTTGGCCTGTATCCGCCTGCTTTTGAGGATTTGAGAATTTTGTTTACTGTGTCGGTCAGTTGGTTAATCTTTTCTTGCACTATGGAATTCATTTGAAATTTATGTTCAGAGTGCCCGCTACAACCTCAAGGGCTGTTCCTAAGAAGTCAAGACTTCTCACCTTTTGATGCACATCGAAAGCGGACAACATCTCCAGTGTCAACTTCCTTTTAATGTTTCAAATTAATATTTTATAATTTCAAAAATAAAATTTTGCAATATAACAACTTTCAATAGCAAATCTAGCATATTCCAGCATATTTCACATTACGCTTAGCATTCTCATTGTATTCCATCGTGTGAGTTGATAAAACAACATTTTCGATTTGACGGGGGTTTAAAGTAAGATTTTGATAGTTTCGTATAATCTCGTTGCGCACCTTATTTTAAAGAAGATACTAGGGTTAAAGCACAACTACTCTTTTCAGTTATGGTAAATGGTATTCCCGAGCTTACTTTAGAACGACAACCAGCTGGCGTAAATTAAGCCAGATGAATTGTTATTAACATGCGCCAAAACAAGTATAACGGCAAAGAAGATACAGAAAATAATCTGCAGAATGGCAAATTAGGCGGTGTTGGCGGTAAGCCTCTGTAGTTTTGGCATTACATGGCTGGTCGTAGTGGTAAATTGTTTCTCGTACACCACGTTTTGATGACCACTTGCCTTCTCCGATAATGTTCTTCATCCTGTTGCGACATTGTGTGATCTGCCATTGTTTCGCACGGTATGTAACATGTCGAAGATGGGCTTCTCTCTTGGGTGCTCAGAATCAAGCGGTTTGGTGTGATGGTTTCATCGTCTTTGGTTTGACACGAACGTGGTTTTCCGTTATTTATAAATTGAACTTCACATTAGGTGCTCAAAAGCTCTGCATCCGTAGGGTTCATTTCTGGGTAGATGAAAATATGACCTTATTGAACTCGTTTAATACAATACACTCGAATGCCTTGTTTTGTCTTTTCCCGAGTTGATTATACTGGAAGTAGATTACCGGCTGGTGACGTTGCGAACACTCACTTGCATATGACTCCCCAGCTTACGCACGGGTTGAACAGAAATCAAAGGGGTGGTATGTATGATGCTCCCCGGGTCCTGTTGGCGCCCATAAGGGAGCACAACTTATGTGCTTGCAAGTCGATGATGCTATGTTTCTAGCCTGCGCACAGATCGTATCTGGCGTAGGCATTTCAGTGGTACTGTTCATCGGCTGTGGCTGTCTTAAGTGAACTCGTCGTAGCCGCTTGCTTCCAAAGACGAGTCCCAGCCTAGCTAGCGAGACTCTGGTAGCCAATCTTGAGGTCTCGTACTGTGTGTTGTAGCTGTCACGTCTGTTATGTTTGTCATTCCTTGTTAACACTTCCCTGAGTCACGAGCAGCTAACGTCGTTAGAGGAGTTGGTAGCGCTGTACCCAATGCTATACCAAGAATTGCACTCCCAAAATCCTCCTGGATTTGTATACCCTGAACCCATTAAATATGGGTATAAGGGTATATTGTATTTGTGCAAAATCCAAATGTGTGTAACAGGCAGAACGAAGTATCTCTGACCCCATAAAGTATATATATTCTTGATCAGCATCAATAGCCGAGTCGATCTAGCCATGTCCGTCTGTCTGTCCGTCCGTCCGTCTGTATGTATGAACGCAAGGATCTCAGAACCTTTATGAGCTAGAGACTTGAAATTAGAAAATTAGATGAAGGTGCTCCTTGTGCCTGCGCAGATCGAGTTTGTTTCCGATAATCGATCAATTAGTCCGGTTCCCACCAATCGATAAAATCGTTATCGATATCCTGATTTTTGTCAATTTTGGTAGATAATAAGAGCTAGTCACCAAACTTGTCATATAGCTTCTAAAATAGAAAATATATATGCTTTTGATGTTGGAAGAAGAGGGTTCAGGGTATCCCCTTGTCGGGAGCTCCCGACTAGAACCTCTTGTGTTTAAGTGATATACTTCATTGTCGGTTTACATGTAATTGCTTTTCAATTTGTTCTACAGAACGTTATGCCAAGTGCAGGCGGATGACTATTTATCATAAAAGAATATACTGAAAACTAAGTAGTGCAATTCGAAGTCGAGCTCGAACGCGAGCTATGAATGAAATCGTATTGATATCCGTTACCACAGTAAACTTAAACTAATTAGGAAGCGATTCGATGGCCCGTATCTCTTATTTATAACGCAAGTATGTGTTGATTTCCATTACCTGCGACGAACCAAATGTTCTGCAATTTTCGGCTTTGAAACGTAGTTTCGACATTATCGACAGCTTTCGGCAGCAACCAAAGCATTTTTGCATTGTAAATATATATTGACTTTTACTAAAAGAAAAATTATAATTGTGATTATTTTCAGAAAGTTTCTACCAGGCATATACTGAAACAAACTACTCAATATCGGTATAAATGTCGGACAAATTTGTTGCCTTCTATTGGTGTTACCTGTCAAAAAACCTGTCATAACACAATTTAAGTAAGAATTATATATAAATTAATTCATTTATAAAGGTACTTTCATTTGGTTCGATTATTTGCATTCACAAATGCAGTTTGTGTTAGCTAACAACAGTGAGTAAAATATATAAAGGGGCGATACACCTTGCTCTATCCATATCTGAATTCAGACTACTGAAATATAACTTCGGTTATAATAAGCAAAACAAGCCTGGGTTGCCGTCGCTTTCCTCAAATGTGTGTTAGCGCCTCGTGTGAGGTGTCGGGTGACTCTCGTGGCTGGCAACATTGGTGCGACTCATCCGCCGCGATCAAGACTCTGATCGCCAGTTGATAAAACCAGTAGACTCCAGCTACCACAGCACTTGCTAACAATAATATACCGAGCAAAATTGCCGATTTGTTTGCGACTGCGACACTGAGGTTAAGTTTCTCGTCACTCAGACGATGAACGTAAGGAAGGCTCCGGGTCGCGACTGCTGATGTTTAGTAACGGGGATGCCGCTTCTGCCGGGTACCGATTTTGCACGTTCATTTGATTGAAGGTGACAAGGCTTGTCCCATCTATTATCATCGCAACGCACTCGTCATAGCTAGGCATTCCGCTGCAATAATTTATGATGATGATTCGGTTGTCCATTATGTTGACAAGGGCGAGGTGACGCGGCTGCGTTTGACAATGTGCCATGGAGACCTTGCGTGCAATGGATCCTTACGGACTGCTTGCAGAATGTGGCAGTTGCTGTTTGTGAACAAATTGATACAGCTAAAATTGCCGTGGAGGTGAAGTACGAAACCATTGAAGGCGACTGAGAAAATGTTTTTCTCTCTGTGTTGCTTGCTTACTATAGGGAACTGAATTACGAAAGTTATTACGTTGTTCTCATGTTCTACTTTAATATTAGATACTTTCAAAATGTCTGTTATGCGTCCTGTAAATTCGTTAGTGAGAATATTCATGAAATCAAAGTGATCAATTATTGTTGGATTTATTTCATTTAAATTTTTCTAAGGTAAAAGTAAGCATAATTGTCCTATTTCTGTTCTGTTCACCATTTTGTAGCGTGTGCTGGGTCTAAAAAAATTTGGCCTGTATCCGCCTGCTTTATGAGGATTTGAGAATTTTGTTTACTGTGTCGGTCAGTTGGTTAATCTTTTCTTGCCCTATGGAATTAATTTGAAATTTATGTCCAGAGTGCCCGCTACAACCTTAAGGGTTGTTCCTAAGAAGTCAAGACTTCTCACCTTTTGATGCACATCGAAAGCGGACAACATCTCCAGTTTCAACTTCCTTTTAAAGTTTCAAATTAATTTTTTATAATTTCGTTAAAATAAAATTTTGCAGTATAACAACTTTCAGTAGCAAATCTAACGAGACTTTTCCAGCATATTTCACATTACGCTTGGCATTCTCATTGTATTCCATCGTGTGAGTTGATAAAACAACATTTTCGATTTGACGGGGGTTTAAAGTAAGATTTTGATAGTTTCGTATAATCTCGTTGCGCACCTTATTTTAAAGAAGATACTAGGGTTAAAGCACAACTACTCTTTTCAGTTATGGTAAATGGTATTCCCGAGTTTACTTTAGAACGACAACCAGCTGGCGTAAATTAAGCTTGATGATTTGCTTTTAACGAAACGTGATAGTGTCCAAACATAACTCGAATGTATAAATTTAGTTTTGCATTCCTAGCTTACCGCAAATAGCAGAAACACTTCCAGCACATGCGCCAAAATAAGCATAACGGCAAAGAAGATACAGAAAATAATCTGCAGATTGGCAAATTAGGCGGTGTTGGCGGTAAGCCTCTGTAGTTTTGTTATTACATGGCTGGTCGTTCAGCGGTAAATTGTTTCTCATTCACCACGTTCTGATGACCACTCGCATTCTCCCATAATGTTTTTCATCCTGTTGCGACATTGTGTGATCTGCCATTGTATCGCACGGTATGTAACATGTCGAAGATGGGCTTCTCTCTTGGGTGCTCAGAACCAAGCGTTTTGGTGTGATGGTTTCATCGTCTTTGGTTTGACACGAACGTGGTTTTCCGTTATTTATAAATTGAACTTCACATTAGTTGCTCAAAAGCTCTTCATCCGGTGGGTTCATTTCTGGGTAGATGAAAATATGACCTTCTTGAACTCGTTTAATACAATACTCTCGAATGCCTTGTTTTGTCTTTTCCCGAGTTGATTATACGGGAAGTAGATTACCGGCTGGTGACGTTGCGATCACTCACATGCATATGACTCCCCAGCTTAAGCACGGCTTGAACAGAAATCAATGGGGTGGTATGTAGGATGCTCCCCGGGTCCTGTTGGCGCCCATAAGGGAGCACAACTTATGTGCTTGCAGATCGATGATGCTATGTTTCTAGCCTGCGCACAGATCGTATCTGGCGTAGGCATTTCAGTGGTACTGTTCATCGGTTGTGGCTGTCTTAAGTGAACTTGTCGTAGACGCTTGCTTCCAAAGACGATTCCCAGACTAGCTAGCGAGACTCTGGTAGCCAGTCTTGAGATCTCGTACTGTGTGTTGTAGCTGTCACATCTGTTATGTTTATGTCATGCCTTGTTAACACTTCCCTCAGTCACGACCAGCTAACGTCGTTACAGGAGTTGGTAGCGCTGTACCCAATGCTATACCAAGAATTGCACTCCCAAAATCCTCCTGGATTTGTATACCCTGAACCCATTAAAAATGGGCATAAGGGTATATTGTATTTGTGCAAAGTCCTAGCGAGACTCTGGTAGCCAGTCTGGAGGTCTCGTACTGTGTGTTGTAGCTGTCACATCTGTTATGTTTATGTCATGCCTTGTTAACACTTCCCTCAGTCACGACCAGCTAACGTCGTTACAGGTGTTGGTAGCGCTGTACCCAATGCTATACCAAGAATTGCACTCCCAAAATCCTCCTGGATTTTTATACCCTGAACTCATTAAAAATGGGTATAAGGGTATATTGTATTTGTGCAAAATCCAAATGTGTGTAACAGGCAGAAGGAAGTATCTCCGACCCCATAAAGTATATATATTCTTCATCAGCATCAATAGCCGAGTCGATCTAGCCATGCCCGTCTGTCTGTCCGTCCGTCCGTCCGTATATATGCACGCAAGGATCTCAGAACCTTTATGAGCTAGAGACTTGAAATTTTAGATGTAGGTGCTCCTTGTGCCTGCGCAGATCGAAATTGTTTCCGATAATCGATAAATTATTTCGGTTCCCATCAATCGCTAAAAATCGTTATCGATATCCTGTTTTTTGGGCAATTTCGGTAAATAATAAGAGCTAGTCACCAAACTTGTCATATAGCTTCTAAAATAGAATAAATATATGCATTTGATGTTGGAAGAAGAGGGTTCAGGGTATCCCCTAGTCGGGAGCTTCCGACTAGAACCTCTTGTTTTTAAGTGATATACTTCATTGTCGGCTTACATGTAATTGCTTTTCAATTTGTTCTACAGAACGTTATGCCAAGTGCAGGCGGATGACTATTTATCATAAAAGAATGCACTCGAAAACGAGCTCGAGCTTGAACGCGAGCTATGAATGAAATCGTATTGGTATCCGTTACCACAGTAAACTTAAACTTATTAGGAAGCAATTCGATGGCCCGTATCTCTTATTTATAACGCAAGTATGTGTTGATTTCCATTACCTGCGACAAACCAAATGTTCTGCAATTTTCGGCTTTGAAACGTAGTTTCGACATTATCGACAGCTCTCGGCAGTAACCATAGCATTTTTGCATTGTAAATATATATTGACTTCTACTGAAAGAAAAATTGTAATTGTGATTATTTTCAGAGTGTTTACCAGGTATATACTGAAACAAACTACTCAATATCGTTATGAATGTCGGACAAACTTGATGTCTTCTACTAGTGTTACCTGTCAAAAACCTGTCATAACACAATTTAAGTAAGAATTATATATAAAATATTTCATTCATAAACGTACTTTCATTTGGTTCGATTATTTGCATTCGCAAATGCAGTTTGTGTTAGCTAACAACAGTGAGTGAATTATATAAAGGGGCGATACACCTTGCTCTATTCATATCTGAATTCGGACTACTGAAATATAATTTCGGTTACAATAAGCAAAACAAGCCTGGGTTGCCGTCGCTTTCCTCAAATGTGTGTTAGCGCCTCGTGTGAGGTGTCGGGTGACTCTCGTGGCTGGCAACATTGGTGCGACACATCCGCCGCGATCAAGACTCTGATCGCCAGTTGATGAAACCAGTAGACTCCAGCTACCACAGCACTTGCTAACAATAATATACCGAGCAAAATTGCCGATTTGTTTGCGACTGCGACACTGAGGTTAAGTTTCTCGTCACTCAGACGATGAATGTAAGGAAGGCTCCGGGTCGCTCCGGGGATGCCGCTTCTGCCGGGTACCGATTTTGCACGTTCATTTGATTGAAGGTGACAAGGCTTGTCCCATCTATTATCATCGCAACGCACTCGTCATAGCTAGGCATTCCGCTGCAATAATTTATGATGATGATTCGGTTGTCCATTATGTTGACAAGGGCGAGGTGACGCGGCTGCGTTTGACAATGTGCCATGGAGACCTTGCGTGCAATGGATCCTTACGGACTGCTTGCAGAATGTGGCAGTTGCTGTTTGTGAACAAATTGATACAGCTAAAATTGCCGTGGAGGTGAAGTACGAAACCATTGAAGGCGACTGAGAAAATGTTTATCTTTCTGTGTTGCTTGCTTACTATAGGGAACTGAATTACGAAAGTTATTACGTTGTTCTCATGTTCTACTTTAATATTAGATACTTTCAAAATGTCTGTTATGCGTCCTGTAAATTCGTTAGTGAGAATATTCAAGTGATCAATTTTTGTTGGATTTATTTCATTTAAATTTTTCTAAGGTAAAAGTAAGCATAATTGTCCTATTTCTGTTCTGTTCACCATTTTGTAGCGTGTGCTGGGTCTCAAAATTTGGCCTGTATCCGCCTGCTTTTGAGGATTTGAGAATTTTGTTTACTGTGTCGGTCAGTTGGTTAATCTTTTCTTGCACTATGGAATTCATTTGAAATTTATGTTTAGAGTGCCCGCTACAACCTCAAGGGCTGTTCCTAAGAAGTCAAGACTTCTCACCTTTTGATGCACATCGAAAGCGGACAACATCTCCAGTGTCAACTTCCTTTTAATGTTTCAAATTAATATTTTATAATTTCAAAAATAAAATTTTGCAATATAACAACTTTCAATACCAAATCTAGCATATTCCAGCATATTTCACATTACGCTTAGCATTCTCATTGTATTCCATTGTGTGAGTTGATAAAACAACATTTTCGATTTGACGGGTGCTTAAAGTAAGATTTTGATAGTTTCGTATAATCTCGTTGCGCACCTTATTTTAAAGAAGATACTAGGGTTAAAGCACAACTACTCTTTTCAGTTATGGTAAATGGTATTCCCGAGCTTACTTTAGAACGACAACCAGCTGGCGTAAATTAAGCCAGATGAATTGTTATTAACATGCGCCAAAACAAGTATAACGGCAAAGAAGATACAGAAAATAATCTGCAGAATGGCAAATTAGGCGGTGTTGGCGGTAAGCCTCTGTAGTTTTGGCATTACATGGCTGGTCGTAGTGGTAAATTGTTTCTCGTACACCACGTTTTGATGACCACTTGCCTTCTCCGATAATGTTCTTCATCCTGTTGCGACATTGTGTGATCTGCCATTGTTTCGCACGGTATGTAACATGTCGAAGATGGGCTTCTCTCTTGGGTGCTCAGAATCAAGCGGTTTGGTGTGATGGTTTCATCGTCTTTGGTTTGACACGAACGTGGTTTTCCGTTATTTATAAATTGAACTTCACATTAGGTGCTCAAAAGCTCTGCATCCGTAGGGTTCATTTCTGGGTAGATGAAAATATGACCTTATTGAACTCGTTTAATACAATACACTCGAATGCCTTGTTTTGTCTTTTCCCGAGTTGATTATACGGGAAGTAGATTACCGGCTGGTGACGTTGCGAACACTCACTTGCATATGACTCCCCAGCTTACGCACGGGTTGAACAGAAATCAAAGGGGTGGTATGTATGATGCTCCCCGGGTCCTGTTGGCGCCCATAAGGGAGCACAACTTATGTGCTTGCAAGTCGATGATGCTATGTTTCTAGCCTGCGCACAGATCGTATCTGGCGTAGGCATTTCAGTGGTACTGTTCATCGGCTGTGGCTGTCTTAAGTGAACTCGTCGTAGACGCTTGCTTCCAAAGACGAGTCCCAGCCTAGCTAGCGAGACTCTGGTAGCCAATCTTGAGGTCTCGTACTGTGTGTTGTAGCTGTCACGTCTGTTATGTTTGTCATTCCTTGTTAACACTTCCCTGAGTCACGAGCAGCTAACGTCGTTAGAGGAGTTGGTAGCGCTGTACCCAATGCTATACCAAGAATTGCACTCCCAAAATCCTCCTGGATTTGTATACCCTGAACCCATTAAATATGGGTATAAGGGTATATTGTATTTGTGCAAAATCCAAATGTGTGTAACAGGCAGAACGAAGTATCTCTGACCCCATAAAGTATATATATTCTTGATCAGCATCAATAGCCGAGTCGATCTAGCCATGTCCGTCTGTCTGTCCGTCCGTCCGTCTGTATGTATGAACGCAAGGATCTCAGAACCTTTATGAGCTAGAGACTTGAAATTGGAAAATTAGATGAAGGTGCTCCTTGTGCCTGCGCAGATCGAGTTTGTTTCCGATAATCGATCAATTAGTCCGGTTCCCACCAATCGATAAAATCGTTATCGATATCCTGATTTTTGTCAATTTTGGTAGATAATAAGAGCTAGTCACCAAACTTGTCATATAGCTTCTAAAATAGAAAATATATATGCTTTTGATGTTGGAAGAAGAGGGTTCAGGGTATCCCCTTGTCGGGAGCTCCCGACTAGAACCTCTTGTGTTTAAGTGATATACTTCATTGTCGGTTTACATGTAATTGCTTTTCAATTTGTTCTACAGAACGTTATGCCAAGTGCAGGCGGATGACTATTTATCATAAAAGAATATACTGAAAACTAAGTAGTGCAATTCGAAGTCGAGCTCGAACGCGAGCTTCATTCATAGCGTATTGATATCCGTTACCTAAGTAAACTTAAACTAATTAGGAAGCGATTCGATGGCCCGTATCTCTTATTTATAACGCAAGTATGTGTTGATTTCCATTACCTGCGACGAACCAAATGTTCTGCAATTTTTGGCTTTGAAACGTAGTTTCGACATTATCGACAGCTTTCGGCAGTAACCAAAGCATTTTTGCATTGTAAATATATATTGACTTTTACTGAAAGAAAAATTATAATTGTGATTATTTTCAGAAAGTTTCTACCAGGCATATACTGAAACAAACTACTCAATATCGGTATAAATGTCGGACAAATTTGTTGCCTTCTATTGGTGTTACCTGTCAAAAAACCTGTCATAACACAATTTAAGTAAGAATTATATATAAATTAATTCATTTATAAAGGTACTTTCATTTGGTTCGATTATTTGCATTCACAAATGCAGTTTGTGTTAGCTAACAACAGTGAGTAAAATATATAAAGGGGCGATACACCTTGCTCTATCCATATCTGAATTCAGACTACTGAAATATAACTTCGGTTACAATAAGCAAAACCAGCCTGGGTTGCCGTAGCTTTCCTCAAGTTTGTGTTAGCGCCTCGTGTGAAGTGTCGTGTGACTCTCGTGGCTGGCAACATTGGTGCGACACATCCGCCGCGTTCAAGACTCTGATCGCCGGCTGATGAAACCAATAGACTCCAGCTCCCACAGCACTTGCTAACAATAATATACCGAGCAAAATTGCCGATTTGTTTGCGACTGCGTTACTGAGGTTAAGTTTCTCGTCACTCGGACGATGAATGTAAGGAAGGCTCCGGGTCGTGACTGCTGAAGTTTAGTAACGGGGATGCCGCTTCTGCCGGGTACCGATTTTGCACGTTCATTCGATTGAAGGTGACAAGGTTTGTCCCATCTATTATCATCGCAGCGCACTCGTCATAGCTAGGTATTCCGCTGCAATAATTTATGATGTGATGATTCACACAACTACTCTTTTCAGTTATGGTAAATGGTATTCCCGAGCTTACTTTAGAACGACAACCAGCTGGCGTAAATTAAGCCTGATGAATTGTTATTAACGAAGCGTGATAGTGTGCAAACATAGCTCGAATGTATAAATTTAGTTTTGCATTCCTAGCTTACCGCAAGTAGCAGAAACACTTCCAGCACATGCGCCAAAGCAAGTATACCGGCAAAGATACAGAAAATAATCTGCAGAATGGCAAATTAGGCGGTGTTGGCGGAAAGCCTCTGTAGTTTTGGCATTACATGGCTGGTATGTAACATGTCGAAGATGGGCTTCTTTCTTGGGTGCTCAGAACCAAGCGGTTTGGTGTGATGGTTTCATCGTCTTTGGTTTGACACGAACGTGGTTTTCCGTTATTTATAAATTGAACTTCACATTAGGTGTTCAAAAAATCTGCATCCGTAGGGTTCATTTCCGGGTAGATGAAAATATGACCTTCTTGAACTCGTTTAATACAATACACTCGAATGGCTTGTTTTGTCTTTTCCCGAGTTGATTATACGGGAAGTAGATTACCGGCTGGTGACGTTGCGATCCCCAGCTTACGCACGGCTTGAACAGAAACAAAGGGGCGGTATGTAGGATGCTCCCCGGGTCCTGTTGGCGCCCATAAGGGAGCACAACTTATGTGCTTGCAAGTCGATAATGCTATGTTTCTAGCCTGCGCACAGATCGTATCTGGCGTAGGCTTTTCAGTGGTACTGTTCATCGGTTGTGGCTGTCTTAAGTGAACTCGTCGTAGACGCTTGCTTCCAAAGACGAGTCCCAGCCTAGCTAGCGAGACTCTGGTAGCCAGTCTTGAGATCTCGTACTGTGTGTTGTAGCTGTCACATCTGTTATGTTTATGTCATGCATTGTTAACACTTCCCTCAGTTACGACCAGCTAACGTCGTTACAGGAGTTGGTAGCGCTGTACCCAATGCTATACCAAGAATTGCACTCCCAAAATCCTGCTGCAAGGATTTTTATACCCTGAACCCGTTAAAAATGTGTATAAGGATAAATTGTATTTGTGCAAAATCCAGATGTATGTAACAGGCAGAAGGAAGTATCTACGACCCCATAAAGTATATATATTCTTGATCAGCATCAATAGCCGAGTCGATCTAGCCATGTCCGTCTGTGTCTGTCTGTCCGTCCGTCCGTATGTATGAACGCAAGGCTCTCAGAACCTTAATGAGCTAGAGACTTGAAATTTTAGATGTAGGTGCTCCTTGTTCCTGCGCAGATCGTATTTGTTTCCGATAATCGATAAATTAGTCCGTTTCCCACCAATGGATAAAAATAGTTATCGATGTGCTGTTTTTTGGGCAATTTTGGTAAAAAATAGTCACCAAACTTGTCATATAGCTTCTAAAATAGAAAATATATATGCTTTTGATGTTGGAAGAAGAGGGTTCAGGGTATCCCCTTGTCGGGAGCTCCCGACTAGAACCTCTTGTGTTTAAGTGATATACTTCATTGTCGGTTTACATGTAATTGCTTTTCAATTTGTTCTACAGAACGTTATGCCAAGTGCAGGCGGATGACTATTTATCATAAAAGAATATACTGAAAACTAAGTAGTGTAATTCAAAGTCGAGCCTGAACGCGAGCTATGAATGAAATCGTATTGGTATCCGTTACCACAGTAAACTTAAACTTATTAGGAAGCAGTTCGATAGCCCATATCTCTTATTTGTAACGCAATAATGTGTTGATTTCCATTACCTGCGACAAACCAATTGTTCTGCAATTTTCGGCTTTGAAACGTAGTTTCGCCATTATCGACAGTTTTCGGCAGTAACCATAGCATTTTTGCATTGTAAATATATCTTGACTTTTACTGAAAGAAAAATTGTTATTGTGATTATTTTCAGAAAGTTTTTACCAGGCCTATACTGAAACAAACTACTTAATATCGTTATAAATATCGGACAAATTTGATGTCTTCTACTAGTGTTACCTGTCAAAAAGCTGTCATAACACAATTTAAGTAAGAATTATATATAAAATATTTCAGTCATAAACGTACTTTCATTTGGTTCGATTATTTGCATTCACAAATGCAGTTTGAGTTAGCTAACAACAGTGAGTGAATTGTATAATGGGGTGATACACCTTGCTCTATTCATATCTGAATTCGGACTACTAAATATAACTTTGGTTACAATAAGCAAAACAAGCCTGGGTTGCCGTCGCTTTCCTCAAATGTGTGTTAGCGCCTCGTGAGAGGTGTCGGGTGACTCTCGTGGCTGGCAACATTGTTGCGACACATCCGCCGCGATTAAGACTCTGATCGCCAGCTGATGAAACCAGTAGACTCCAGCTCCCACAGCACTTGCTAACAATAATATTCCGAACAAAATTGCCGATTTGTTTGCGACAGCGACACTGAGGTTAAGTTTCTTATCACTCAGACGATGAATGTAAGGAAGGCTCCGGGTCGTGACTGCTGATGTTTAGTAACGGGGATGCCGCTTCTGCCGGGTACCGATTTTGCACGTTCATTTGATTGAAGTATTGTGTGCCATGTACAGCGGCATGGGACGTGAAGGTGACAAAATTTGTCCCATCTATTATCAACGCAGCGCACTCGTCATAGCTAGGTACTCCGCTGCAATAGTTCATGATGATGATTCCGTTGTCCATTATGTTGACAGGGGCGAGGTGACTCGGCTGCGGTTGACAATGAGCCATGGAGACCTTGCGTGCAATGGATCCTTACGGACTGCTTGCAGAATGTGGCAGTTGCTTTTTGTTAACAAATTGATACATCTAAAATTGCCGTGGAGGTGAAGTACGAAACCATTGAAGGCGACTGAGAAAATGTTTATCTCTCTGTGTTGCTTGCTTACTATAGGGAACTGAATTACGAAAGTTATTACGTTGTTCTCATGTTATACTTTAATATTAGATACTTTCAAAATGTCTGTTATGCGTCCTGTAAATTCGTTAGAGAGAATATTAATGATTTCAAAGTGGTCAATTATTGTTGGATTTATTTCATTTAAATTTTTCTAAAGTTAAAGTAAGCATAATTGTCCTATTTCTGTTATGTTCACCATTTTGTAGCGGGTGCTGGGTCTAAAAAAATTTGGCCTGTGTTCGCCTGCTTTTGAGGATTTGAGAATTTTGTTTACTGTGTCAGTCAGTTGGTTAATCTTTTCTTGCACTATGGAATTAATTTGAAATTTATGTCCAGAGTGCCCGCTACAACCTTAAGGGCTGTTCCTAAGAAGTCAAGACTTCTCACCTTTTAATGCACATCGAGCGCGGACAACATCTCCAGTGTCAACTTCCTTTTAATGTTTCAAATTAATATTTTATAATTTCAAAAATAAAATGTTGCAATATAACAACTTTCAGTAGCAAATCTAGCATATTCCAGCATATTTCACATTACGCTTAGCATTCTCATTGTATTCGGGTGTATTGACAGGTGCTTAAAGTAAGATTTTGATAGTTTCGTATAATCTCGTTGCGCACCTTATTTTAAAGAAGATACTAGGGTTAAGGCACAACTACTCTTTTCAGTTATGGTAAATGGTATTCCCGAGCTTACTTTAGAACGACAACCAGCTGGCGTAAGCCTGATGAATTGTTATTAACGAAGCGTGATAGTGTGCAAACATAACTCGAATGTATAAATTTAGTTTTGCATTCCTAGCTTACCGCAAGTAGCAGAAACACTTCCAGCACATGCGCCGAAACAAGTATAACGGCAAGGAAGACATCGTCTTTGGTTTGACAATAACGTGGTTTTCTGTTATTTATAAAGTGAACTTCATATTAGGTGCTCAAAATCTCTGCATCCGTAGGGTTCATTTCTGGGTAGATGAAAATATGACCTTCTTGAACTCGTTTAATACAATACACTTGAATGCCTTGTTTTGTCTTTTCCCGAGTTGATTATACGGGAAGTAGATTACCGGCTGGTGACGTTGTGATCACTCACATGCATATGACTCCCCAGCTTACGCACGGCTTGAACAGAAATCAAAAGGGTGGTATGTATGATGCTCCCCAGAGACGAGTCCCAGACTAGCTACCGAGACTCTGGTAGCCAGTCTTGAGGTCACGTACTGTGTATTGTAGCCGTCACGTCTGTTATGTTTATGTCATGCCTTGTTAACACTTCCCGCAGTGACGACCAACTAACATCGTAACAGGAGTTGGTAGCGCTGCACCCAATACTATACCAAGAATTGCACTCCCAAAATCCTGCTGCAAAGATTTTTATACCCTGAACCCATTAAAAATGGGTACAAGAGTATATTGTATTTGTGCAAAATCCAAATGTATGTAACGGGCAGAAAGAACTATCTCCGACCCTATAAAGTGTATATATTCTTGATCAACATCAATAGCCGAGTCGATCTAGCCATGTCCGTCCGTCTGTCTGTCTGTCCGTCCGTCCGTATGTATGAACGCAAGGATCTCAAAACCTTTATGAGCTAGACTTGAAATTTTAGATGTAGGTGCTCCTTGTACCTGCGCAGATCGAGTTTGTTTCCGATAATCGATAAATTAGTCCGTTTCCCAGCAATCGATAAAAATCGTTATCGATATGGTATTTTTTGGGCAATTTTGGTAAATAATAAAAGCTAGAGTCACCAAACTTGTCATATAGCTTCTAAAATAGAATATATAGGGAGGGTTCAGGGTATCCCCTAGTCGGGAGCTCCCCACTAGAACCTTTTGTTTTTAAGTGATATACTTTATTGTCGGTTTACATGTAATTGCTTTTAATTTGTTCTACAGATTATTATGCCAAGTGCACGCGGATGACTATTTATCATAAAAGAATACACTCGAAAACTAAGTAGTGTAATTCAAGTCGAGATTGAACGTGAGCTATGAATGAAATCGTATTGGTATCCGTTACCAAATTAAACTTAAACTTATTAGGAAGCAATTCGATGGCCCGTATCTCTTATTTGTAACGCAAGTATGTGTTGCTTACCTGCGACAAACCAAATGTTCTGCAATTTTCGGCTTTGAAAAGTAGTTTCGACATTATCGGCAGCTTTCGGCAGTAACCATAGCATTTTTGCATTGTAAATATATTTTTACTTTTACTGAAAGAAAAATTGTAATTGTGATTATTTTCAGAAAGTTTTTACCAGGCCTATACTGAAACAAACTACTTAATATCGTTATAAATGTCGGACAAATTTGATGTCTTCTACTAGTGTTACCTGTCAAAGACCTGTCATAACACAATTTAAGTAAGAATTATATATAAAATATTTCATTTATAAACGTACTTTCATTTGATTCGATTATTTGCATTCACAAATGCGGTTTGAGTTAGCTAACAACAGTGAGTGAATTGTATAATGGGGTGATACACCTTGCTCTATTCATATCTGAATTCGGACTACTGAAATATAACTTTGGTAACAATAAGCAAAACAAGCCTGGGTTGCCGTCGCTTTCCTCAAATGTGTGTAAGCGCCTCGTGTGAGGTGTCGGGTGACTCTCGTGGCTGGCAATATTGTTGCGACACATCCGCCGCGTTTAAGACTCTGATCGCCAGCTGATGAAACCAGTAGACTCCAGCTCCCACAGCACTTGCTAACAATAATATTCCGAGCAAAATTGCCGATTTGTTTGCGACAGCGACACTGAGGTTAAGTTTCTCGTCACTCAGACGATAAATGTAGGGAAGGCTGAGCACCGGGTCGTGACTGCTGATGTTTAGTAACAGGGGTGCCGCTTCTGCCGGGTACCGATTTTGCACGTTCATTCGATTGAAGTATCGTGTGTCATGTACAGCGGCATGGGACGTGAAGGTGACAGGGTTTGTCCCATCTATTATCATCGCAGCGCACTCGTCACAGTTAGGTATTCCGCTGCGATAGTTTATGATGATGATTTGGTTGTCTATTATGTTGACAGGGGCATGAGCCATGGAGACTTTGCGTGCAATGGATCCTTTCGGACTGCTTGCAGAATTTGGCAGTTGCTTGTGAACAAATTGATACAGTTAAAATTGCCGTGGAGAACGGAACCATTGCTTGCTTATTTTCGGGAACTGAATTATGAAAGTTATTACATTGTTCTTATGTTATACTTTAATATAAGATACTTTCAACATGTCGGTTATGCGTCTTGTAAATTCGCTGGTGGGAATATTCATTAAATCAAAGTGATCAATTATTGTATGGATTTATTTCATTTACATTTTTCTAAGGTTAAAGTAAGAATAACTGTCCCTGTTGCTGTTCTGTTCATCATTCTGTAGCGTGTGCTGGGTTTCAAAAATATGGCCTGTATCAGCCTGCTTATCTCTGGAGGATTTGAGAATTTTGTTTCCTGTGTCGGTCAGTTGGTTAATCTTTTCTTGCACTTTGAAAGAAGAACTTAGAAGTTCACGTCCAGAGTGCCCTCGATAACCTTAAGGGCTGTTCCTAACATGTTAACACTTCTCACATATTGATGGTGCACATCGAGAGCGAACAACATGTTCAGTACATGTCCAGTTTCAACTTCCAGCAATTTCCTCTTATGGGAATGTGGAAATAGTCCCGTTAGTTTCATAGTCTCTTTAGTCATTGTTGGACTCAACCGTCCGTAATTGGTATGTAGTGCATGTGCGTCACCCGTTCTGTCATCATGATCATGATTGAAAGTTTAATAAATGTAATTCTCAAAATTTGAAAACTGGTAATATTAAAGGGTAATGAAAATTTGTTTCCTTTTTTAAAAACGTCGATGGAGGTTGTCCTTGTGGACTACCCTTCCCTCAATGAGATCCGTTGCCTCCAAGTCCGCTTCAACCTTTTTTCGACACTCAAAGACGATAGTTAGTTCCCCCATCTGTGGATTGTCTTTACCAGGATCTCTCACCTACTCCCACCTACTACAAAGACTCTGTTTTGGCGATTTAGGTTAGCCCGGCGTTCTGCTGAATTTGGGCCCCGACTAACTTCGCGGGTACCTTCAGGCGAAGAGAGATACCCGTAGACCTCTCATCAAACACTGAATGGATTGATCTATTACACTCGATAGTGGCCTGCAGGATAAGGTCGACGGTGTTAACCATACCCGTTTGAACCTGCCCATTAGACGTGCTAAAAAGGGGAGTTGCGTTTAGCACGCTTTAGCCATAATTATTTAATAGCTGAGACCTAATGGTCTCCGAATTGAATGTTAGCTCATTGTCGCAATACACCAGCTTCGCCAACGGGGAAATGTTCATTAGCACCAGCAGGGATGGTCGAGACTTCTATTATTCGAGATGCGATAAGCATGACCACCGTAAGCTTTGAGAATTTGTCTACTCAAGTAAGGAAGAATTGTTTGTCTGTGGAAAAAATGTCAATATGTAACACTTCTACGGTTTGTAAGGGGACTGACGTACGGCCGAGTTCCTCTTTTTTCGGTTGTCTATCGTAGTTTGCTCTTGTGCAAATCTTTCAATTCAAGACAACCAGTTAGCCAATTTGTTCATTTTAGGGAAATAGTATTCCGACAAAGGACGTGTTTCACATTCTCCTGGGCCGCCCCATGTGCTTTTTTGTGATAATACTTTCTCTTCTGCCACTGAAAACGCCGGCAACGAAATGTTTGCAATACCAAAACTTCGTAGTATGAAAGGCCCTTTCTAACTCGTGTGGTATATTATTCAAAGCTGGAAGAGTACAGTGGAATGTATATTAGCCACGTTTGGGGTAATGACGGCCTTTATTGTTGTACAATGGCCGTCCCTATTGATGACAAGTATATAAGCTTGAGTTACCGACTGTACCATACAGGGTATATATGATTCGGTTTCACCCGCTAAACCGCCGAAAAACGGCGGCGGCAGCACAGCATTGTGACACTATGTTGCTATGCTGACCTAGCACTTTAACAGGATGTTGGTTGCGACAGTTCTCGTGCAAGACACTTAAACTGTTGCAATGGAAATTTTTCAGGTACATGTTGCTAGCTTTTAAGAAAACCATTCTATACATTTAGCTTTATTGAAGCTCGAACAATAAAGAGATATTCAGTTCAGTTTATTGAATTCTTATTTCATTAACATCAAATCAACATATATGTATAATTAAGTTTTACACGTTAAGTTACCATAAAAAACCATATTTCAATTTATTATTTGCACTAACGGCTACTTTTGTTGAGTACATTCAGATTTGCTTCCCGAATATGAACTGATTTATCTAACTGTTGCGGTCGCTTAGCAAACTTCGCTTTGAGAGAGCTTGAATCAAAATTGAGTGAAGTTTGAGCTGCGTCAGCAATTATGCGTGGGATAGTGCTCTGATGAAAACATTGACAGTGGCGTGATATTTAGGGTGAATTGTTTATGTCTACCAAGGAGGACAGTTTGATCTTGACCAATGTCGATGTTATCACCAGGCTCTTTGTTTACAATATTAGAAATGTTTATACTTATGCTTATGTTTATGTGCTAAGCTATGTTAAAGGGTGGGTGCGACTATGGATATGTCACTCCCCCAACCATTAGAAAATTGCCTGTCCTCAGGTGTTTCAGTTTGGATATAGTGTAACATTTTCTTTTACATTTGGTGTATCTCCTATTATTGTAGGCGTTTCTTCTACTTTGGGTTTTTTATATTTATACCCTGAACCCATAAAAAATGGATATAAGGGTATATTGTATTTGTGCAAAATCCAAATGTATGTAACAGGCAGACGGAAGCATCTACGACCACATAAAGTATATATAATCTTGATCAGCACTAATAGCCGAGTCGATCTAGCCATGTCCGTCTGTCCGTCCGTCCGTCCGTCCGTATGTATGAACGCAAGGATCTCAGAACCTATAAGAGCTAGATGTAGGTGCTCCTAGTTCCCGCGCAGATCAAGTTCATTTCCGATAATCGATATCCACATCCTTTTTTTTTTTTAGCAAATTGGGTAAATAATAAGAGCTAGAGCCACCAAACATGATATGTTGCTTCTAGAATATTATAGATATTTCAAGTATCTTTCATTTCATACCTATCGCCACCTCCCCGCTACCACCCCAGAGCTATAAATCAAGTAAATAACCCAACTTTTATTGCCAACCAATTTAAACCACAATTTAAATGCAATTGACTTTTTCAGAATACACAAATATTCTATGGTACAATAAGATATACTGTAGAAAATTTCATAAAGATCGGTTAAGAAAAACCAAAGTTATATGCAACTGCGCAATTGAATGGGGCAGTAGATTTAAGAATTTCTGTATACATGTACACACACACATTCATGCGCGTCTGCTTCGCATTCTAACAGCATGGTTATTGTATCTTTTTTTTGTAATGTTATTTAAGTTCCTTTTTTTTATCATAAGTACTTAATTGTTGGTGTGGCTGCAGAGTAGAGGCATAGCAGGTGGTGCGGTCTGTCGCGTTCGAGCCCTACCGGGGAAAGTGTTATTTTTTTTGTTTGCTGGTGTGGCTGTTGAGTAGAGTCGACAGCATGTAATGCGTTCAGTTGCGAGTTCGAGCCCTGCCAAGGGAACTTTTTTTTTATTAATTTATTTGGTGTTGGAATAAGCGGGTTCAGGGTATCCCCTAGTCGGGAGCTCCCGACTAGAACATCTTACTTGTTTTTTTTTTGCTGGTGTGGCTGTTGAGTAGAGTTGACAGCAAGGGGACATCTCCGACCCCATAAAGTAAATATATTCTTAATCTGCATCAACAGCTGAGTCGATATAGCCATGTCCGTCTGTCTGTTTTTATGCGAACTAGTCCTTCAGTTTTAAAGCTATCTTAATGAAACTTAGCAGAACTCCACCTTTCTATTGCACGCAGCACATATGTGAAAACCAGCTGGATCGGACCACTATATCATATAGCTGCCATAGGAACGATCGGTCGAAAATTAAGTTTTTGTATGAAAAAACGTTTTGTTTATCAAGATATCTTGACCAAACTCGGCATTTATTAGTTTTACTATGCTCCTCATATATATGCAATATCCTATTAAGATCGGACCACTATATCATATAGCTGCCATAAGAACAATCGGTCGAAAATTGAGTTTTTGTATGAAAAAGCATTTTGTTTTACATGATATCTTCACCAAACTCGGCATTTATTAGTTTTACCAAGCTCCTCATATATGTGCGAAATTCCTTTTAAGATCGGATCACTATATCATATAGCTGCCATAGGAACGATTGGACGAATATTAAGTTTTTGTACGAAAAAACATTTTGTTTTTTAAGATATCTTGACCAAACTCGGCATTTATTGGTTTTACC